CTTGGGTGCCTGTGTCCCTGGCTGTCCCCACCCCTGGGGGCTACACCAAGCCTCCTAGTGCAGGCAGCCCAGTGCCAGGACTGGGAGGTGGCTGTGGCAGGAGCTGTGTCAGTTGCTGCTGCTGGCTTGTTTGCTTCAGTGCCAGTTCATTAATATCGAAGAGCTAATTAGGATTCTGGAGCCCTTCCCACCCATCCCTCTCCTTCAGAGGCTGGAGGATACTTCTTGTCTGTGGGATTCTACTGCAGCCCTGTGTTAAAGGGATTCAGCTCTGGTCTGTCCCAGCCTGGCAGTGTCCCTCTCTCCAATCCCGGCTAATCCATGTGGCTAAAGCCCCTCGAAGCCTGGCAAATGGGAAGTGATATTTGCCAATAATCCCTCTGCTCCCCTGGGCAGGCTTCTCATATTATGGGTTATTAAAAAGCCAAAACCCAGGCAGCAATAACTGCAGCCCGGGGAGAGCCCAAGCACAGATTGCTCCTGGTCAAACCCCTCCCAGTAGATGGGCTGCAGGCGGAGGTGGTACGGCACAGCCAGATCTTGTGGTGCATCTCTGGGCAGAGTCTAGCTCCCTTGCAAGCAGAGGAGGGATGAGCCACCATCCTGGGGAGCAAGCAGGGATTCCCATGAGTTGCAGACTAAATCCTGTTTCTCTCCATGGAGGCTGTGGGGAGCCCCGGAGGAGGCAGAATAAACCCAGCTATCGCTTGCTGTGGCTTCCCACCCCAGTGCTGGCATCTCCTGGCCTCTGCATCCTCCCCATGGCCAAGGCTGGGCTGGGCAGGGGCAGCTCCCATGCTGGCATCTCAAGGGGACGGCATGAAGCCAGCGCTGCTCACCTGCCACCCCTCTGGGACAAAGCCAGCCCTAGTCCCAGTTTTTTGCTTTGCTTTGCAGGGCTTTTGAGAAAATTTGCCTGGAATTGGGGATGCTGTTTCTGCCAGGACAGGGCAGTGATGCTGCCTGCAAGGTTGGGTTTGTCCTGTGGAAAATTCAGTCCGCAAAGGATCTGTAGTTACTTGCAATATTTATTTTTTTCTTTGAAAAACTATCGATTTCCCTGCAAGGAGTCACACTGCAGCTCAAAATGTTTTATTGCATGGGTTGGGGGGTTTCTTTCTGGTTTTAAGTCAACATTTCCCCTTAAAATGTCACTCAGGGAAGGCTTTTTTTTTTTAAGCAAAAGTTTGTGATGACATTTTTAAGTGGAGAAGAAAATTGCTGCGTTACTTCAAAATGTCAACTTTGAGTGGGGTGAGTTGGGGGTTTCTTTTATTCCAGCATTTCCCAGGCAAAAAGCTACATAGTTTTGTTAGACTTGAGTACCTGTGGCCCCCCCATTACCCCCAAAATAAATCCCTTTTTTTTTTTTTTTTTTATCCTGATTGATTGCATTTTTGCAGCAGAGAAACTTTTGCTGGGAGAAGTCATGCTCCGGCTGGCATGCTGCCCTGGGAAAGGACAACCCTGTTGCAGCCAAACCTGAGGCCTCTAGGGCAAATCCTCTGCCACCAAACTCTGGCAGGGACCTGCGGAAGAGACCCTGTCACCGCTGGCTGAGTTCGTTTGCTGTGGGAGGCATTAACGGTGTGCCCAGGTTTTGAAGCTCTTTTCTTTCTCCTTTTCCTCTGCCTCGCGCTCTTGGTTTTCTTTCACACAGCTTGCCCTGAAAATAGCTTGTGCTAGATTAGGCTAGAGACTGGAGTTATCTCCCTTTTATTTATTAGGGCAATTATACCTAATGATTCACATGCTCGTGGAGAGTAATTACTCCCAAATACGGCACTGGTGGTGCTCTTACCCAGCCTGGGTACAGTGATTCACAAACGCATCATTTTGTACAAATCATCAAATGACGATCCCTTGATTGCCAATTGGGTTTGGAGGCGGTTAAGAAGCGATCGAGGACCTGGTGGCACCATCACCGTGCCTGGCTTGGTCCAGTGCAGTGGTCACTCACCTGCTTCTCCCCCTCCACTGTGCCGATGGCTGTCACCGCTTGCCTCCTGTGTGGGTTTTGCTGGGGATTTTAGTTGTGTCAAGCCCCTCGAGCTGTGGGATTTGGGCTTTTTGAAGAGCCACAACACCTGATCTGGCAATTGCCATGGCCCAGCCTGGCTGGGGGGAGAGCCAGGGCTGCCTCCCTCCAGGGTGGGGGTGACCCCTCCATCCTCCCAAAACTCAGCAGTGATGTGGCTCAACCCTCACCTCATTGCAGGTCTTGGAGCAGGTGGGTGAGAGCTCATGAAACACTGATGTGGAAAACCAAACCCTCCAGGTTTTGCACCAAAAAAAGGCCCCTTGCTCCAAATTGTTCAGCATGGGGCAGGTACAAGGGATGTTACACCCTTCCCCAGAGCCTGGCAGCCCCCTGCCTGCCCTGCCCCAGGGAGGGGACATGTGGGGACCATTGTCTGGAGACCCCTAACCATCCACTGGGCAGGGTCTGGCTGGGCAGGAGCATCCTGTGAGAGATGATGTGCAGAGTCCAACCTGCTGACCTGCTCCAGCCTGGGGAGAAACCCCTACCCTGGGGATGGAGGAAGGCTTCTGGAAGTGTTTTGAAGGGTATTGATGTTTCCTAGTGCTGCCACGTGGCTTGGAAAGGCAGCCTGGAGCATGAGGTTTCTCCTTGTGGGTTAAGGGGAGCCCAGGGTGATGTCTCTGGGGTGGTTCAGCCCCTCTGGTGCTGCCCAAGGCAATGCCACAGTGCTTGGCTGGAGGCTGGTGGTCAGCCATGGTCTCTTGGGCCAGTGAAAAGAGGCTTTTTGGTGCCCTTGGTGAGCAGAGCATGGCCATGCATCATTGCTTTGCTCTTCTTTTAGCTAAAGGAAGCTCTTCCTTTCTTGGTGCATGTCTGGACTGCGTTGCACAAGCCCACACCCGTCCCCTCCTGTCGCAGTCACTGCGCTGGGTCTCCAATCCCACAGATGCCAGAATTGCTGCTGAGATGTGAGCAGCTGTCAGAGAAGGGCAGGAGGAGAGGAGGTGGCACAAACCCCCCTTGCTGCTGGCCACCACTTGGCTTTATCCCCAGCACCGCTTGGGTGGGCTCCTCTGGGAGCCTGCCCTGGTCACCCCCTCCACCCCAGCACATGGGGCTGCCCATGGTGGCTGTACTGGTGTTGCTCGGTAAGCATTCCCCGGGGCAATAGCTCCCTGGTCTCATTCCACCCATGTCCAGCTTGGGGGAGGATCTGTGCTTGTTTGTGCTGGTGCCTGGCCCCCTGTCAAGAGCTCCTGCAGGCAGCTGGGAGCTGCTCCTAATGGGGCTGCCGGGGGATTTGTGCTCTGACAGCTCCCTGTAACTGCTCGCTCCACTTGCCGGGCTCTCCTTGTCTCTGTCAGATGGTGGAGGATGCTGCCATGGTAGGGGGTTGGCTCCCCCCCCACCAGGCTTTTGTGATGCTGCTTGGAGGGTTGTGGTACCCATTGCCTTGGTGGAGCTGATAAAGCCCTGGGGGTGATGGTGGTGCAAGCAGAGGGTGCCCAGGCTGGAAGAGCCCCTGGAGGGTGATGCTCTGGGATGGGGGTGGGCAGAGGGGAGGTCTGGGGGTACCACAGGGCAAGTCTTGTCTCTGCTCCAAGGTGGGGGCTGGGGTGATAGGCCCCCATTAGCTGGGAGTGGGTGCTGACACCCCATAGGGCTCCCTCTCCAGTGGCTCAGGGCCTCCCGTGCTTTCTGGCTGAAACATTGCCTCTCTTCTCTGTTTGATGCAGGACTCCTGTCTCCCCATGGATCCCGCACAGGGGCTGGGGGGACTCCCTGGGGCCCAGCCTCATCCCTGCGGGGGCTGTGGCAGCCCCTGCCAAGGGGCCGGCCTGTCACCCTGCCAGCGTGGAGCACCTCATGGCCTGCTGTCTTGTATGGCTTTTTATTCCTATGTGATTATACATCCCACTTCATATAGGGATTGAAGCCGTGCAATACGCCGGGGTCCTACGGCGGAGAGCAGTCCCTGTGCCACAGGAACCAGCCTCAGCGGAGCCACCGAAGCTCCTCCCTTGGGATGCTGGGGGAGGGCCGCTGGCTCTGTCCTGCATGCCGGGCTCCCCAGCCCACTCGGGGGGCAGGTGAGGGGTGCCGAGCTGCTTTGGGGTGAGGCCAGCACAAGCCTGCTCCTTGCGTTGCACCCCCTTGCAAGGCTGGGCCTGATTCTGCACTGTGTCTGCTGCGGAGAGCCCCAGTGGCTGTGCTGGTGGGCTCACCCCTGAGGAGACCCCTGCTTTGCTTTTGCCCCCCACTATCCTGGGAGATGGGGGACAGCCCCTGGAAGCACCCAGATGCAGGCACTGGAAGGAGGTGCTGCCGGCGGGACAGAGGAGGAGGAGGAAGATGATCGTAAAAAGAAAGGAGCTGGGGAACAGCCACAGTGGCAAGGGCTGCCCCAAGCATGATGCTCTTCAAAGTTTCTCAAGAGGCCTCAGCCGCTCCTTCAAGCTTTGCGTTAAATCTGTCACATTAGCGAAAATAGTGAAAATTACCCGGCTTGTGGAGGAGATGAAAGGCAGCCCCCTTCTGATCCCTCCATAAAGGAAGGGCCCCATTAACACCTAGTGAAATATTAGCCATTAATCAGGCTCTGTGCAAAATAAAACCATCCACATTTATCATTATTGGATCCTTAATGAAGTGATAATGGGAATGCTGGGGAGCTGTGATATTAATGTCTCCTAAGAGGCAAGAGCAGAGCCAAGGGCGGCAGCCAAGATTTTTAATTTACTGCCAAAAGCTCGTGCTGTTAATAACGCAGTTACTTCTCCCGGCCATTAGCACTGTTTGGCTACGAGCAGCCCGCTTAGGAGAGCAAATTGACCCCAAAGCCAGGATGGCGTGGAGCTGGGCCCAGCCCACACACTGGGATCGCTTGGTGTGACCACAGTTGCACTCTGGGTTTCTCCATTCGCCTGGCTACGCTCATGTGGTGCTCGTATCCCATCCAGGGCAGCGCGGGCAAGCTGCAGAGCCCTGTGGTGACCACTCAAGTTCGTGATGGGGAAGTCATCGCTCCTGGCAGGCTCTGACAGCCCAGATACAAATCATTACTTGGCAGGTAAGCAATGCTGTTGCATCTTCAGATGCAACTGTTATCTTGCAAATCCTCGCAAAACCCGACCAGTGCGGCCCAAATGTGTGCTGGCTCATGCGTGGGATCGTTTGCTGTCAGCAAAGGCACTGCAGGACCAAGGGAGATGGCTTTGGGCCAGAGCAGTAATGGGTGATTCTGTGCCGAGCACTGGCCAGAGGACTAAACCCGTGCCTCGTTTGTAACGGGTGCGCATGCTCCGAAGCTCTGTCCCTCCCTAGGCAGAAGATGCACAAGGTCCACCCAAGCAATCGCTCAGAAATGGAGCTTTGTCCTACCCAGGTAGGAGCATCAGAGGGGGAAAAGTGTTTCTGTGACCTGGGTGTCCTTGGTCAACCTCCCCCTGTCCTGTTACCCCTTGTTAGAAAAGAAGGGACGAGAACAAACACCGTATATGGAGGCCAAGCGAATGTAGGTGTGAAGTGCACTTCAAACAGCTCCATCCTTTCATCAAAGCTCTCCTCCCCAGCACAAACTCTTTTTAACCATTAGTGAAGTCACTGTTTAGAAAGCACGGACGCTGCTCAGGGAATGTGTGTTAGGCATTTCCCAGGAGAAGCCAGCGAGCGCTAGCCCAAGGTCTGGTGAACTTGACTGTGATGCAGCAGCTCTGAGGACATGCCCGGCGATGTGGCAGGGCTACAGAGGGCCTGTGACAGTGTGCCCAGGCTGGCACGCCAGGCCTGCTGCTGAAGATGCCAGTGACCCTTCTGCCAGGCACTCCAGCCCAAAATCGGAATCACTCTGGATTTCACTGGAGCAGAATTGGACAGGAAGCATTAACAACATTTTGGAGCTGGCTATCCTGGCCACAGCCTGTACTTTTTGGCTGTATCACTGCATGTGTTAGTGCTCCTGCGGTGCTGGCATGCCGGGCATGGAGGAGGCAACCTGCCAGCGACCTCCGGAGGAAAAACGCCCAGCAAAAAGCAGCTTCTCCTGCGCAACCACCACCTGAGATGACGGGGGCACAGCGAGCTTTATAATGCTTGGCAGGTTTTCCCTGGCAGATCTCAAAGCTGTTTGCCAGCATGAGCAAGTTCAGGCATGTTACAGAAGACCTTCAGACTCGCAGGACAAATGAGATGTGTGGATGAGTTTAAACCACCGGGTAAGACTGGGGTTTTGAAATCCCCAGGCTTGTGCCTTGACACTACGCCTGGGCTGTGGCCCAGACAGCCCAGCTGCCAGCCTGGCATCGATACCGGTCCCCGTGACAGTCCTGCTGATATCCCTGCTTGTTAGATATTGGCTTCAAAATCAAAGCAGGAGGTGTCGCATCCTCCTCAAAAATCCATCCTCCCATCCGTCTTGCAGCGGGGTGCAGAACAGAGTTCAGTGAGACACCACGACTCACGGCGTTGGCAGGACGATGTATTTATGTCACGAGATCAGCCACAGGGAGTAGGTTGGTCTGTCTGGAAAGAGTCTGAGTCAAGCGTGTCCTATTAAATTAGGGCTGGATTTTCAAAGGAGCCCAGCTCCCACTTAGGCGCTGTAACAAACAGGCAGATATTCAAAAGGAGTTGGACGTGTTGGGTCATACTGGCTGCTGAGCTGAAATCTTTTGAATATCCAGCCAAAACCATCACCGTGCCTGTTGCTACAGGCAGAGCCCTACTGAAACCCAGCCCCACCGTGGGTTCTGCGTCTTGGGAAACCCGGCTCATCTCTGCTCTCCCACATATTGCACTGCAGTAGGTGACGAAACCATGCTAACCACCACGTCCTTATACATGTGGGGGAGCGGCTCCCTGTCAAGGCACGGCTCCGGCAGCTTTGCCCTTTGATCAGCTCAGCAGCATGGGTCAGGAGAACTGAGCGTGAAGGCTTCCTTGCCTTTTGTTCCGCAGAATAAGTGGAGTTAATCAGAGTGACAGTGACTTCTGCCTCGGCACAGAAGAAAGGTCAGTGGCTCAGGCTGGCTGTGTGACTGTTTTCGAGGCAGTTGGAACACAACACCGTGAAAGCTCATAGCATACACACTACTGGCACGGAGGCTCTCCCAACAGGGATCAGCAGGGAAGATGTCCCCATGGAGGGAAGGAGGCTGGAGGTGAAGGGCTCACCTCTGTTGCCTTGACACTGCACTGCAATCATCCTCTTCCTTGTGCTGCACAGTGAAGGTATCCCACCCTCTGTGTCTCTCACTGTGCACTGCTTTTGTGTCATGCGTTCGAGACAAAACGTTGCTCTCGGCCAACACGCTCCTCAGCCGCGCTGCTGGGTGTGCGTCATGCTGTGTGCGGGGTCTCTGTCTCGCCTCAGGTACCCTGGTGTGGGATGAGCTGCAGGGCGCTGTGTTGGCATGCAGAGCTGGTGCTGGGTGTCCCCTTCCCACCGTGTTTGCCCAGCATCTCCGCACTTCCAGCTGGGCAAGCCTTGCTTTTACATCCTTTGGTCACTGTAAGGCACTTCTGTGAACCTGCAAAAGCCCCCTGATGAGCTGCTCTTGAGCTGGGGGCACTGGAGGTGCAACAGCCGTGGTGAGGGCTCTCCCTGGCAGCCCTACCATGGCCTTAATTTCCCCACATCTTTTAACTGTAGTTGAAGCAGTCACAAGAGTGGTGGCTCTCAGCAGAAGTGTTAAATCCAGCCTCTGTGTCTGCCATGTGACCTCTTACCTTCCTCTGATCCCAATTACAAGTGCTTGCTTTTTGCTGTGGACGTCCACTTGTGTCTAATTAGTGGATTCCTTCTGTCAAAGATATTAGCACCCTTGACAGTGAGCCCTAATTTAAGTAGTTTACGTTTGTCTGCAGCGTTGATGCCTTCATTTACCCCTGGTCCTAATTAAATGCATCTGGATATCTGCAGAGGCAGCTCTCATGACCTTTCTGTAGCTCTAATTAAAATGGCCTGGATGTCCATGACATTGGTGCCTGTCAAGCCTGTCACCAGGAGGTGACGCCCACCTTGGAACTGACTGAAGAACGTATAGGAGTCGTTGTTGCTGAGAAAGGCCTCCACGTCGAGGCCCTCCCGCAGCGCCTCATCCACCAGCTCTGGGCTGCAGAAGGCCCCTGCTGCTTCCGTCGGCCCATCCTGCCCATCCGTTCCTCCACTGAGGAAGAGGATTTCACACCTCCGTGGGGAGCTGCTGACTTCTGTAGCCTGTGCCCTGTGCAGCCCCAGCCCGACGCGCAGTGCCAGCTCCTGGTTCCTCCCGCCCTTGCCGGTTCCTTGAAGCTGAACTGTGGTTTCTCCGCCAGCCAGGATACAGACTGGTCTTTCAGGCCCTAATTCTCGCAGGGCCTGCAGAAACTCAGCAAGGTTCAAACCCGGGATCTCTAGCTCTGATGCCAGCTGCAGGAGATTCCCTCTCACCTTGTCACTCAGAGGCCCTTCTCTGAGGCCGGCGAAGCCCAGGCAGACCAGCCGGATCAGCTGGCAGTACAGCATGGCAACGTGGCTTACTTCCCCACAGATTGCCGTGCTCAGAATCAGAGTTGTGTAGCCCAGGCCCTCAGCTTGTCGTTTGGCCTCGTCTAAAGCCAGCGTATTTGACCCGATGATGATGTTGCAAACGTGGGCATAGTCTTCTGGAGCAGGGATCTCGGTGGAAGAGCTGGACAGGACTGTTTCCACAGACTTGGGCAGGTTGTGCAGCAGGTTGTATTTGGTGAGTATCTGAAGGCAGTCTTGGACACTGTGGGAGCTGGCAGCAGTGGGCCCACTCGCTATGATGTCCAGGGGGTCACCAATCACATCAGAAAGGATGAGGCTCACCACCTACAAAAAGAAACACCCACTGATTACTGCGGGAGGCAGAGACAGGTGACCACACAAGAGCCCTGGGATAAGCACTGCTCTGAGTTACACTTGTGCCACCCCCATGTCAAAGCAGATGGAGACAGGGGCAGATATTGGCCCATTTTTGTTTTATGGTTGCATGAGTGTCACCTTGCCCTTCTTGAACCCACAGATCTACAAAGTCCTTTGATGCTGGACCGTCACACTGGAAGATGTAACCTGTGCCGCTGCACTTGTCAGGCTGATAACCCAGTGCGGGCTCAGCAATGGCACATGCTGAGAACAGCCCCCAGGGGAGCCAAGGGTCAGCCCCCAGCTCCCAGTGTGGTGGAGCACCAGCACATTGGAAGTGCCTGCTGGGTGAGGGCTGGGGTCTGCTGAGAGTGGTGAGATGGGACGGTCGACATTCGCTGAGTCTGAATTCCCCCTCTTCCATCTCTGTCTCCCTCAGAGTTTGGGTCCTCAGAGAAATCTGAGCCACATTGTCCCAAAACAGTGTGCAAAGGTTGTTGACTCAGTAAGGAGAAAAACCCTGCGAGTGTGCTTAGGTTGGTTGATTAAACCCCTATTTTGATGGCAGATGGGTGATCCCTGGGCAAGTAGGGGCTTCCCCTTGATTACCTGTGCAGGATATGCGAGCCGGGCCAGCCCTCCACCCTTCAGCAAGGACAGAGTCTTCCGGACAATGTTCAGCTCCTGTATGGCAGCTCCTTGGGAAGCCAGCATCTTTGTGAGTTTCTCCTTCTCTTCGAGGAGGATGGGAAGGATGGGAGCAGGCAGTAGAGCTGATCCACCCCCTAGGATGCAGAAGAGATGGCAAGGATATCAGGAAAAGGAGGACAGGAGGAAAGCAAGGCTGTTCTTCCCTCACCACTGCGCAGTGGGAAGGCAGAGGTGGTTGGAGAACTACGCTGACATCTCTGGAGAATTCAGTCGTCTTCACCAATGGGTTTTAATCACTACTGCCCTGCACTGTCTGCAGTCAGCTATGCATTTCACCCAGGCAGCATAAACCTCACTGTACCAGGGCACCACATGCCTGCAGTGTTGTGGGGATGACAGAGAAGGGACAGCAATTACTATCCCCACTACATCAGACTACTAGTGTGTCATCACACTAATTTTCAAGGGCTGCCTGGATGGATGAGCAAGGAGCATGGGCTCCACCACTTGCATAGCAGTCAGTGCTAAGCAGAAGGAGACACTACATGCTTTTCTGGCTCCATTTATTCAGGACAGCATGTAAGAATGCCAGCTATGGCTGCAGCAAGATCAGAAACTGCTGAACTGCACTCGTCTAGGCCTGGGAGGAAGGGTAAGGGGGAGAGAGTAACACAAAGGACAAAGCACACCCAGAGTCTAGGGTGATAGCCTCATTGATGGGAATCCTGTCTGATACAAGCAGGCATTGGAAATGTGGAAAAGAAGGCAAAGAAAAAGGGGTCTAATGGAAAAGTGGAATGGATGGAAAATACAGAGTAGAAAGGAGCAAGATCTGAGCAGAGAGTGAACATGCACAGGAGTACAGCTGAAAGCTACTGCCAAAAGGCAAAGCCTGCTTGGAGGTTTGAGACAAATCAGCATCAATAAAACATGATGAGCAAGAAAAACAAATGCAAATGCCTGTGTTTCAGTCAGTAGCCAGGGATCTAGCTGAGAGGCAGGAGCAGTTGGGGACCGGCTGCTGTGTGGGAGTGCACGTGCATAGGGAGTCACAGCCACGGGGAGATGCTGTACAGGCTCCCTGAAGGGCTGAGGAGTCTCTTGGAGATCCCCATAGCCAAAGGACAGGAGAAAGCCCAGGGGAATCCCCAGCAAGCGCAGCTAGATTCCAGTCACTTGGGTGTTTGCCTAGCAGCACTACTCTCTCTGTACCAGATGAGGCTCCAGCATCCACAGAGGAACAGAGGAGATCAAGGGGTTCCTACAGAGCTGCTCGAAGCCCATGTATGCCTTTGCCTGGTGACATCCACTCACCCAGCTGAGCTAGGGCTAGGATGATGTCACTGCATCCCTCTGATGCACAATATCCACCTTCCTTACACCTTCCCCGAGTCTGGGGACAGCCTGGGGGCCCAGCACACAGGACCTGGGGGTGTTCAGAGCTGACCCTGGAATGCCTGTTGGAACCTGGGGGCCTCATTTCCACTCGCTGGGAAGCAGCAAAGCCCTGGGAAGGGTCAGTCCCGAATCTCAGCTTACAGACTAACACCCCTGCATGAATTCGGAGCATGCAAGTCTACCAAGTGCTTGCTTCTCCAAGTCTGCATCCCCAAATGTAAGGAGGGGGCAGGAAGAAATTGTCTGCTTGCCAAGAGGTGAGAGCAGCTGGCAGGCTGTGCCCAGAGGTGCCATCTCACCACGGTGGCACAACTGCAGGACCCACCCTGAATAGCGCAGCCTCTCCCCTGTGCTGGGAGATAGTGTGTCCACTGCAGCAACAGCCAGCCCTGTGCCCTCCTCTGCTGCATTCCTGGAGGAAGGCTGGTGGGAAAAGGGAGAGGAAAAATCACAGGGGTGGAAGTGTCAGCGCTGAAAGGGCCAGCCTGTGCACAGTGCCCCCCTGCTGCACAGCCATGTGTGGGCAAGCGGCTGGAAGGCCATCAGCAGAGCCCACTCCTTGGGATGTCAACACTACCTGAGATGAGCACAAGGAGCAGGTCGTCCACGGTCAGACCCTCAGCCAACTCCTGGATGGCTACTGCTCCTTTCAGAGCCTCTGGGTCTGGGAGGTTGTTCTTGGCACCTTCAATAACTTGGATTTTGCTGTGTGGCTTCAGGAGCATCTCCCTGGTAAGGTAAGAGAAGCAGTCACACCACTGACATGTACAGGCAGACAGGCTGTCGCTCAGCAGGCAAATGGGCCTGGTGCACCAGAGGTGTATGGCGAGTGACCAGGGCAGGGAGGTGGCCTTTGCTGTCTCTTTCCCAGGGCTGGGGAGGCACTGCATCCAGTGCAAGAGATTGGCTGTGTCACTAGTGCCATTGGGACGAGATGGAGGTTGACCAGGGTGGTGTGGTGGATGGGGTGGGCACCAGAGCGAGGGCAGCTGGAAAGGACAGAAGGGATTCACAGCAACATCCCACAGAGGACAAATCTGGCAGCCTACCCCCCCAAACTGTCCAGACACAGCCCCCCTTACT